GAGAGAGAGAGAGAACCTCCATTGAGCCAGAGTGTTAATGGTCGAGAGGCCCTGTGATGGGTGTCGGCCTCGACAAAATAGTAGAAGAGGGCTCTACCATGGTGAGTATCTGTGACAATGTAACCCGAATACTGATTGAAAGAAGGGTTGGGGGGTTGGCCCGGTAATCTCTTTATGAGGTCAGGATGGAGAGAGAATACAGTAAGAGGAAAGAGTGAGAGCAGAAAGAAGAATGGAGTGATCCATGAAGCCATCAATTTCAACATGTTACAGTACAGTGAAGAGGAGGGTGAATGGAATAGAAGAAGAAATTGTGCAGATCAGCTAAAAGTATAGAGCAAGAAATTGTGCAGATGAATCTCTTGTTTGCTTGTTATATCCTTTGAATGCAAAAACAAGTCAGTAACAGGTCAATAACCACAGAAAGATGACAAATCGTAATAAAAAGACTTATGCATATTTTTCCAATGAGCAATTGGAGTTATCGGCCAGCCGCCAAGTTTGACGTGATTCAGCCCCACGATGATGTGAAATAAAATGGAGCACTTAAATTTTAGAGAGATAAATTGGAATGTACTAGAGACAGAAAAAGAGAGAAATTTGAGGCATCTTAGAGAGAGAATTAGGGAGCCCACTAGAGAATGAGGACTAAGAATGGACACTACCTGGGATTAAAAAAATGTACGGAATCGCCCCATCCGACTTTCGGTTCCGAGTCTAGAGAGAACGGAGGTTCCATACGTTAAAATGGCATTATGGAGCACCAATTCACCTACTCGTTTCGGATCGGTTTTTGACCTGTTTATTGTTTTTTTCACGTGTTTTTTCGTCGGTTCACTATTTTTTTGGTAAAGCAAAATGATAATCCAGACTGTTGATTCACCAATCCATACCGATTTTTGAATTGTCCGATCCAGTTCACCAATCTAATTTTTTAAATCACAGGACAATACGTAATCTACTGCTTAAAAATTGAAGAGAGAGATCTTTACGAGACAGTACGTACTAGATACAATTCAGGCCAACCAAACATTTCAGATTAGTAAACAACAATTAGATCAAATTCCAAATGGCTAGAAGTACTATTTAAAAGTTAAGCACTCTGTGACCAAATTTAGGGTAAGTGCAATAATCCAACAAACCATCTATTGAAAGTCATCAAAATACACAGGAACATGTATATAACATCTTAGTACTGGTAAAATGGGAGGTCTGCGCCCCTTTATTCACTGGAATAATGATATAGTCTTCAAAGTATGACTTTTGCACTTGGATATTGATGACTAGAAAGAGGGCAAAGGTGATGCATTGATGAAAGCTCGAAAAATGGCTAGGGCCTGAGATGGAGAAGTAAATGGGACCATGTGTGCTGCACCCCTCAAAGTTGCAAAAGTTGTATACGTGCGGTTCTCTCCCCCTCTTTCAAATCGTATGAGCAAATCTTGATTGTCAATGTAAACAGATTTATGGGATGAGAGATGAGAGTCATCCATTCTTTAGATCCACTATCATGATGCTAATGAAAGTGTTATAACCTTATCTTCTCTTTCCTAAACCTACATCCATCAAATAAGTTAAAAAAATATTTTTTTACTTTCTCTAATAGTAAACATTCTCCTTGTTTCTCAATCAAACCTACTTTATTCTCAAGATTTTCTAAAACTATATATTTCATTTTTTTATTGCAAGTAGGTTTTTCTCTACAAAAAGAAAGCCAACTAACAAGGGATACATCTCACCATATTTAGCAAGAAAAGGCAATCCCTTATGGGTGGGGCGTGTTACCCTTTGGTGGCCACACATGGACCCCACCCAATTGTCCTATGTGATTTAAATAGCCATACAATAATTATGGAAGGTCCCACATATTTTAAAAATAATAAAATTTGATTTTTAGATTTTTCAAACCTCTTAGTTTATTTTAAAACTGTAGATATGAATTTCTCTTGATTTATAAATCCAAATGACAAAATTAAAATATAAGAATATTCATAAAAATTCAAATAAACATTCTAAACATCAAATAACATAAAATTAATTAAATTAAATTAATTTTGATAATAATCTGATCTGAATAGGTCTAAGATTTAATCAACGCATATGAGCACGTTACCTTCAACTCTAGACCACGATCCACACTAGCTTTCTCCAACTGACCATGCAGTTCTCATGACCCACAGTCTATTGCAGGGACACATGATTGGATGGACAAAGTCAATCAATGGGCTAAGGGACGTAATCCCAGTATGTGGACTCCAGGTTATCCCTTAGAGACAAACCATGATCCGCCATATCATAATGCAACTATGACTCTATGGTGCATAGAGGTAATCTCTCACACATATACACGTTTCACCTTCAATGATGGATTACTATCTCAGTACAACTATATATGTACATGTCGTGTGATGATACAACGATGAGGTTTTAGTCCTGTCTCTGTAGACTATTCATCATACATAAGGGTCACACAGTCCCTCGGCTTTCATCCAGGCATACTCCGACCTCATCAAAGGCTATCCCACTAAATCCCCATTGGTTATATCTCTATGCCCAAGTACCTTGATTTTCTAACTCGGTTGAGCTAGCACGTCAAGCCTAATCTGAGTATCGGTAAATTAAATTTACCTAGTATGATCCACAAGAGGACCACACTCCTACTGAGTTTATGATTTATTACGTACAATGCTTATACAAGCTCTCATAACACCTTTAAAAATCATATAAACCCAACAAAACACGATATAGAAACTATCTTGTGGTGGCTCTCGAGGATTACAACCACGAAGCCCAGCACCATATCAAAGATCCAATTCCCAAATTGAAATTTTCCTTCTCTAGTGATTAATCATATAAAATTTCTCCTTTTTCTAATTTTCAAACACTTGTAGCAAGTTGATGGGATGTATTTCCCATCAACGTTCAAAAGATGTTGAATTACAACCAATGAGAAAGGAAATTCACATGCTTGCTCGCACGCGTACACAAATTCATTCAAGTGGACTAATCCTACTACCTCCTTTCCTCATGGTCCCTTTTCACCTTGTGGTGGCCCCCAGCTCTGCTTTACATGTTCACTAATCAATACGTCCACTAGTAGAAATGCCAATTACAAGGTTGCGCCCCTCTTAATTTTGTCACAAAAACAGGCAAATCAGGAAAAGCTATTTATAATACATCAACCTTATATCGAGCACCTCAATGGCTTATTGGCAAAGGTTATCCTTATTGATGCTAGAAACTATTCAATCGATTATCATGATCTTGAGATGTCTTAATGTGAGAGAAAAAAATATATTTCAAGTCCTTAAAGTAATGCACCAAAAAAAAGGTGTAAAAGTAGTGCATAATCTAACATATTATCTTGACCGTCTATTTTTAAGATTCTAAATGTTCCTAAATTTGTTCAATTAATACCAGTTTTTGGATTACAAGTTCTACTTTGAGCCTAGCCAACATTATTATATTGAGGCCCAAGCCCGAATGTTATTCGCGTCTAGCTTGCCCCCCCATTGCCCAGCCCAAAGGTCTTGAAGTTAGGCCTAGACCTGATTTGGATCAAGGCTCAAAACTTGACCTGGCCCGGTTGACAGTCCTAATCTTGTTGGTTCACTTTGTGTTATAATCCAGCTAACATTAGCTTGGACTGCAATCATTTTCAACAGATGCTAAAGCCTAACAAGGACCACTAACTCTGGGCTAAACTGCCATTTAAATTGACAAAGCAATTCTTTCTTATGTTATCATAAAGATTAAGACATTGTATAAGGCTATAAGCCAACCCCTGCTATACCTTTAATCAGCATTTGAAAGGCACTTGATTACATTACAAACGCCATGGCCCATGTTTGTTGGATTTAAAGACTATGCCCATGGTTTCTCTCTTTCACTCAGCACCCAACTCTAAAGTCTGAACAACCCAAATCCCCATAAAGAATAAACCCTGCAATTCAAAATTCAGCATAAATTTTGCTTCGGTCAAAAGCTTTTTCTGATCACGGACTGATCAAAAGCAGTGTTTGCAAAACCAATAAAGCTCAACAATTTGCAAAACCAATAAAGCCCAACAAAACCGGTATTGCAGGCTGAGAGAGAGAGAGAGAGAGAGAGAGAGAGAGAGAGT